CGCCAAATTATATAACATATATATATAGTTTTATCACTAGATATAAATATATATATATATATATAATTTCCTTACTGTCAATATATATAATTTACTCACTATAAAGACAGTTATTTCATTCCCGAGTGCACCTACCCAGTAAAAGATTTACGCTAATAAACAAAATAATATGCATTAATATATATATATATTTTTTTTTAGTTTATGTATTTTTTAGTTTTAAAATATTTTTTTTTCTGTGTGTTTTTGTTTTTGTGTCATTATAACATAATTTTTGTTTGCTTTGCGGCGTAAATTTCATTTTGTGTGTAATATTATTAATAATAATAATAATTAATATTATTTAATATTAGTAAAAAAAACTCGTTTTAATAATGCTTTTATCCAGATCAAATTTTACGACGTAATTTTTAATATACAGATATATAATATATATAGTTTTTTCTTTAAGTAATAAAAATTAAACAAAATCTACTTAGTTGCTCGAATCTGTAATAATATATATTATATATATTAATGTATATATATACGTGTATATATATATAATTATTAATGGATATATAAGTGTAAAAAATCGATGTATACACTTATAGTATAATTCATTTTATTATTTATAATTTTTTCAACGCTTATGTGTTTATTAAATTTAATTTCTTTTTTATTTTATATTTTAATTTTTAAACCTTTTTTTTATATTTATATAAAATAATTACTCAAGCAGGATGCAATGATATATTATTATGGTACATCTCAGAAAGGCCTAAAGCTTTTATTGCTTTGAAGCTACGAAAAGAGTGGAGAAAGAGAGCAGTACCACCAAAAAACTCTACATACGAGTACATAATACATATATATATATATATATATATATATATATATATCTATCTATATATATATATATATATATATATTTATATATATGTATGTATATATCTATGTTATATTTCTCATTATTTACATATATTTGCATGTTTGTTTTGTTTTTTTTTTCTATATAAATTAATCTCAATCTGTAAGTGCGCCCAAAATGTCACTCGGCCTCACGTGGGCTTCTACTATGTATGTATGTATATATTTTACAATAATTTGTTGCGTTCATTTTTCTTTCATAATTTTCATATTCGATATTTTTAATGCTATACATAATTAAAAAAAAAAAAAAATATGAGAAAAAAGTGCAATTTTGTGAGAAATAACTACCTAAATTTGTTCTTGCAATAGCGAATACTTAAAATTTTTGATTATCAATTTTCATCTTTATATTTTAAAGACTACCTATGCCTAAGGTTTAGTCTTGCTTACGTTACTTTTTGGGTTTTATGCAGAAAATGCATGCAGTAATTTGTTGAGTTTTTTTTTTTTAATTCTGAAAAATTCAGCTTTCAGGAATTCGAATACTATGTAGATCGTACTTTATATACTAATTGGAGAGAAAAAACTATACAAAATTTTTAATATCATTTTTTTTTTTTGTTTTACTTTCAACTTTTCTTCCCTTCTTTTGAGTAGGACCTACTACAACTATTTTATATAAATTCTTTTTTTCCAATTTTAACTTTGATTTTTCTTAATAAAATAAAGTTACAATATAAAAGTGCGTAAAAAAGACATAGCGTGAAAATGCGTTTTTTTTTAATTCGAGTTAGGTATTTACATACATATATATGTAATCTATTTTATATATACAAAGTAATGTTTTAAATATCATTTTGTTTATGCATTGCTTTCTTTACAGTGGTAAGTAAATATTTTGAAAGAAATTTAAGTTTTACGTTTATGTGCTCTACGCCTAAAATTATGTATGTATATGTATAATTTGTTATTATTTTTTTGCTGAATTGTTAATTAAGAAAAATAACAGTACGCTATATCCACTCGTTTCGATTCGGCTCGGATTTAGATTTCTTCTTTAGTTCGTGTGCTTAATTTAAAGTGTTATTTGGAAAACAAATAACAACAACAACAAAAGAAACAATTCATAGCTGCTCTGAATGCAACAACAAATAGAGTATCGTTAAACGATTTAAGTTACAAAATATTCACAATAAATTCGCAATTGTTTGAGCGTCTCTCACAAGAGAATTTTTGTAAGTAAATGAGCGCAAAAATAAGTCAAGACGACTTATTGTTATGGAAATAGAACAAAACTAAATAAAAATATAATAATTTAAAAAAAATTAATATTTAAAATATAGTAATAAATAGTAAAAACAAAATAATAAAAAAAATAAAAAATTTAAATGAAATATAATAAAAATATAAAAAAATAATAATAAAAAAATTAAATGAAATATAATAAAAATATAACAAATAATAAAAAATTAATAAAAAGATAATAAAAAATATTTATAAAAACTCAAAAAAAAATTAAATTGAAACTATCAACAAAATAGTAAAAAGATAATAAAAAATATATGTAAAAAATATGATAAAAATACGAATAAAAATAAGAAAAAAAAAAATAATAAAGAGATAATAAAACCTATTTATGAAAAATGAAAAAAAAAACGAAATAAAATATATATAAAATATAAAAAACATTTATAAAAAAATGAAAAAACGAAAGAAAAATATAAATGAAAAAATTGAAAGAAATAAATTAAAAAAAAAAATAAATAAAATAGTAAAAAATTATAAAAAATGTAATAAAAATAATAAACAAATAAAAAAAAATATAATAATAGTAAAAATTAAAAAAAAAAATATATATAATAATAACAAATATTAAATAAAAACCTAAAAAATATCAAAAAAATAATAACAAAACCAAGAAAATAAAAAAAATTATAAAAGAAATAATATTAAAAAAAAATAAATAAATTGTTAATATAATATTAAATAAGAAATAAATATAAAATAAATAAAAAATAAAATAAAAAATAAAATAAAATAGAAGAAATAATATAACGAAATAGTAAAAAATAATAAAAAAATATATTAAACAATATAATAAAAATACGAACAAAAATAAGAATAAAAAAAATATTTATACAAATAAAAAAAAAATATTTATACAAAATGAAAAAAAATGAAATAAACAAAATATAAAAAATATTAAAATAAAAGAAAAAACGAAGGAAAAATATAAATAAAAAAAATGGAAAAAAAAATAAATTTAAAAAAAATTAGCAAACAAAATAGTAAAAAATTATAAAAAATGTAATAAAAACAATAATAAAAAAAATTAAAAAATAAATATAATAACAAATATTAAATAAAAAATTCAAAAATAATAATAAAACTAAGTAAATAAAAAAAAAATTATAAAAGAAATAATAGTAAAAAAATAAATAAATAAATAGATAATATAAAATTAAATATAAAATAGAAGAAATAATATAAATCCAATTAATTGGAAATTAAAAAAAAATTTTAAGATTAAAAAACATAATGTTTGTATATAACGAAAATTACAAAACAATATTTAAAACAATAAATTATATTAAAGTAATTAAAATTAATGATTTGTAAAAAAAAATTAAAATTAGAAAAGAAAACTATTTAATACAGAAACATGAAGTTTACAGTTACAAAGTTGCAATTGAGGGAGTTAGCCGTTATATTTATAATATGCCTATGTACAATACAGATGTATACATCTTCCGCAATTATATATAAAAAATATATGTTTATATTATATATTGAAAGCGTTGTTTATTACCTTTTTTTGTTTTTGTTTTTTGTTTTTTGTTAAAACATTTAAGCAGTTATTATTATAAAAATATATATGTGTGTGTATCTGCGCTAATACTGATTAAAACAGCTCAAACATAAACATCGATTAACGATTTAAGTGTTGCAGATAATAATACATTTTTTCTTTGTGTTTGTTAATTATTTTTTTTTTTTACATATTTCTATGATATACAATATATCTATATATTTTTTGGCGTGCTACCGTGAAAAAATAGAGTAATTAAGTATTGGTAATAAATAGGGACAAAATTACAAGCCTTAAATGTAAATATGCGTACATATGTACGTGTATGTACACATATATTAAATATGTTTGCTAATGTTAGACATTACTCTCATATTAAAAATGTCATTTTTGCATCTCACTACCTTTATGCACATATGCACATACATACATATGTATATATATACTCGTATATTTATACACATTTATATTAAAATACATACATATGTGCATAAGATGCAAGATTTGAAAAAAACGTTTTGAACTTTGAGTAATAAGACCTTTCTGTGATTGTCCATTAATATATATGCGAATAAAACACCCTGTATGTGAAATTTATATTGCTTTGTTTGCTTTTGTTTTTGTTTTTCTTTTTTTTTTTGTTTAATAAGATTAATAAGTTCGATATTATAGATTAAATGTAAGTAATTATCACATGATTCGCATATAGGCAAGAGATTTTAAAGTGAGTGAGTGTATTAACTATTTTTTCTGTTTTTTAGTTCTTTTTGCTTTGTTCAGATTCAAATTTTGTATTTATTTTTCTTTAAAATATTTACATTTCTTATTTTCATATATATATATATATATGTATATATATATTTTTTTAATATATTCTATGGTAATTGTAAAACAAGCAAATCTATTTTTTAAGTAATGGGGTAGTAATATAAACATTGTCATTGTGGTTCAAAAAATACTGAAGCTTTGTTATTTTTTTGTTTGTTTTTTTTTTTTTTGTTTTTTATCGTGTTTTTTAACTTTTAATTATACAATAAATTATTAACTTATAAAATTGTATTTATTTAAGTATATATGCCCTTGGTTAAATTAATTATTGAATTGATTAATCAATGAATTAATGTTAAAACATCGCTCTACCTACACGTTATTTTCCACTCTTTATATAATATTGTTTCATTTCTGTTTTGGTATTCGTTTCTATTCTTACTTTTGCAACGGTAAATTTCCTCTCTTTTTATAACTTCCCTTCAAATACTTCTTTGATTTTATTTTATTTTTTTTTTACAATTTATTAATAGGTAATTAATAATTTTAAATTTATTTTATTTTTTTTTTCTGCTTGCGCGGCACTCATAGTTTACTTGCTAAACTTTCACATTGTTTTTGTTTCATTTAAATTTAAATTCAAATTTAAATTGATTACTTGTTTGTAACTCCTTTCAATTCGAATATTTTCCTTATTTCTTTATTTTGATTTGATTTTTCTGATTTGGCGTTTTATGTTAACTTAGTATTATTTTCACTGGAGACAAGATTAAGAGGTACTAAAAAATCATCCATCTGATTGAATTCCCCTTTAATTGTGCCTTGCTGCTGTTGCTGCTGTTGTTGCTGTAGTTTCCGTTTCTTTAACAAACCATCTTTTATTATATTCGCTCGTTCCTCGTCTATGTGTCGCTTGTATTTCTGTAAAATTCATATCAATTGTACATATTGGGTGGGTCTTCAGAATCAGATTCTAATTTATATTTATATTTTTCTTTTGTTTTTTATCAAAAGTAAAGTTAAATTTATTGAAAAATGTTTAATTTTATTACGTATGTGAAATGAAGCTAAACTTAAAGAGACTATGGTGGGTAGGTTAGTAAACGCATCGAAGAAAAAGGTGAAATTAAATAAAGTAAATGTCATGAAAATAAATTAAAACAAAAATAAATAAAAGTAAAAAAATAATAATAAATCTTTACAAAATTTAAAATATGTATTTAATTTGTTATTTTTATAAAACAGCAAACAAAAATTATGTACAATGATTTTCTAATTAAATGTCATAATGGCAACTAAATATTTTTTTTAGAAATATATACAATAGTTTTTAAGATAAATAAGCAATAGTTTCAAAAAATATACAACTTTTAAAATTAAGTACTTTATCTAGTGCACTAAAATTGAAAATATATATATTTACAAGCTCTATTTGTTATAACTACGAAAAAAAAGAATCAGGAATTTCTTACATACACAAGCACCATGAGAAAATATTTATATATAACATGTACCTACAAAAAAAAAAAAAAAATATATATGGGTAAATAAGTGTGATAATGGTATTGACTACAGTTTATTATATGCTGCAAATATACAAATGTCCAAACGTGCGAACTGATAATATCGTTTTAAACAGATTTAGTTGCAAGCAATGTTTGGCCAAGATTTTTTTTATTGAGTTTTGGTTTGAGTTTTGTTAGTTTTATGTGATTAATAAAATGTACACCGAGCAAAACTTGCATAAATGAAGTATGGTATTTTTTTATATATAGAAACCAGTAGTTAAAGAAAAAAAAATTTAATAAAATTTAAATATTTTACAAAGTACTCACAGAAGAATAAACAAAACTTACCGCAAAAGAGAATCCGGATGACTCAGGATTTTCAACACTTAAAAACACATTTTGTTCAACGCTAGCACCACTAGTGCCACAAATAGGTATTTTACATAAAACTTCCGAAGGTGAACTTGGACGTTGCTTATTTTCTATAAAGAATTAAAAAAGTAATTTAAATATATATGTTATATATAAGAATGATTTAATACATAAATTTTTACACATTATTTTGTCTTTATGTCTGTATCACAATAGGATATATTCTTTATAAAATTTAACAAAGGCTAAGCCTCTCAAATATTTTTTAATCATTGATTATTCAAATATAACGGTTTCTTTATAGTTATAAGAAAACTGTTTTTTTTTTTAATTTGCATGTTTAATGACTTTTGAATGTATTTTTTTTTTGAATTGCAACTCAATGCAATGTCCGAAAAATACATTTTCCTACATTAAACTGGTTTCGAAAATATTTTTAACGCTTTGAAATCTGTTTTAAATTTTTTTTTTATTTTTTAAGCTTAAAATTTTAATTATATATATAAAAGGGGAAAAAATCTGTTTTAAATTTTTTATATATTTTGTAAAATTTTTATTTTATTTACTTTTTTAAGCTTAAAATTTTAATTATATATATAAAAGGGGAAAAAATCTGTTTTAAATTTTTTATATATTTTGTAAAATTTTTATTTCATTTACTTTTTTAAGCTTAAAATTTTAATTATATATATAAAAGGGTATTAAAATTGAAAGAAATCTGTTTTAAGTTATTTTAAATATTTTGTAATATTTTTTTTTATTTTTTAAGCTTAAAAATTTAATTATATATATAATAGAGGGGTATTAAAGTTGAAAGAAATCTGTTTTAAATTATTTTATATATTTTTTAATATGTTTTGTTTTAATTTTTTAATAGCCTCATTGTGTCATAATTAAAGGTCTTACTCTTTTTCGATTTTTCGCACTCCTTCGGACGTCTTCGCCTGGTATGTATGGTATCACGTCTCATCGAATGCGGCCTATTTACGCCATGTAATTTAAAGTATAAACCACAAGCATTGCACACCATTTCACCACGAATACTACGTCTCCAAATAGTCGTGGTGAGTGTGCCACAATTTGAGCAGGACATATCTTTTGGATTGTTAATAATACCAGCGGCATTAGCGCTAGTAGTATTTTTGTTGTTCTAAAGAATGGAATTTTAATTAATTAAACATTTGATTATCACATGCAATTATAACAAAAACGTCTGTATGTGTGGTGTGGATATTAGTTATATGTATTGCTCACCTTCTTATCTTGCATTGATGCCGCTGCTGCTGCAGCAGCTGCCGCAGCTACTGCGACATGGTTATGTGTACTGGCATTAATCTCAAGATTTTGGGCATTAACAGCCATAACATTTGGCAGTTGTTGTTGTTGTTGCTCAATTATATCACTTTTCGTCGGACACGTTTGCTTGCGACGGCATAATTTACTTATATTATCATTCTGTATGAAAAGTAAAAAGAAAACATCAATCAATTTCATTTATCGTGCTGATATGTAGAAAACTCACTTTTAATAATGCCATCGGTTCCTCAGGTACATTCTCAGCGGAGATTGCTGCAGACGGCGCGGGAAATACAAGTGATTGATGTATCATATGCCGGAGTAACTGATTATTTTCGTTATTAGCTGAATGGCGGAGGAGAAGAAAAATATAAATATAAAATGAAAGAAAAGTACATACAAGTTTTTAAGTTCATATGCACCAAAAACACAAAAAATTTTTAATTTATATGTGTACTTATGATTAAAACGGAACACAAAATAATTTTTAAGTAATTGCAAACGACTTTTTGTTGACTTAGTGGACATGGGACCAACATCGAATAAGAATGTGTTTTAAGTTTGCAAAAAAGATAAAATATTACAAAAATTTGACGATTTTTGACGATTTTCATAAAAATCTAATTTCTGAAAAATCGATTGTGAGGTTGTTTCGGTGATTTGCAGTACTTATGTGTATATGATACCAAATTACAAGTTCTCAGATGCATTTTATTGATGCACTACAAAACAAACTGTTCAAATAACACAAAAGCCGAGTTACTAATTTGCCTTTAAACAGATGGATGGGTAGACAGGTAAAAAAATTGCAATACATAATAGGGATAGATTTTTTAAGACAATTTTGCGATAAATTTAAATATTTAAAGACTAAAAATTTAGATTGTTGAAAAAAAAAAAAACAAAATAGAAAGAAAAGTTTAAACAATTCGATATTATGAATTCAAGATGAAAAGATGTAGAACATTCTTAAAAATTCATTTATACAAACTTTTTCCCACTTACCAGCTGATCTGGCAAGCGCTTGCCATAGTTGAGTGGTCGCAATGTCCGTTGCTTGCTCTTCAGATGTTATACTATCCGGCGTTTTACGTTCATTCAACATGGAACTCATATCCATTTCTAAGCGATTCGAATCCGAACTCTCATCGGAGTCTGTATAATTGGCTACTGTTGTAATTGGTGTTGCTTTCATTGTTGTTGTTTCTTTTTTAATAGCCATTGGTAATTGATTGCTGCTGCCAGGTGTATATACAATTTCAATTCCTCCTTTAATAATACTTGTTTTTGTTGGTTCTAAATCTAAGTTTACAGGTTGTATGAGTTGTTGTTGTTGTTGCTGGTGTTGGTGTTGCTGCTTTTGCAATTCGAGTATTGTAGGACGTGTGTATTGTAATAATTGGGATACGGTTGTTCCAGTATCAGGTGCTGTGGTTGTTGTTGTTGTTGTCGCTGCTGCTACTGCTGCTGCTGTTGCATTAGACTGAGTGTTTGAGAATTCATGTTTTGCTTTTTTAATTGATAAGTCTATTTCCTTGCCATCGGGTAGTGTTGCTGCTCCTAATGCTGCTGTTGGCGCTTTCACGGTTACCATTGTTGCTGTTGTTGTCTTTTCATTGATGGATGATGAAGGACGTTCATTTTTTATCACAGAATTTTTAATACTTTCATCTGTATTTGTTGTTGCAGTGGTTGTTGTTGCTGCTGCCGATAATGTTGTTTGTATTGAAGGTAGATTTGGAGACTGACGATTCGAGCATGGCGGTGATATAATCACTTTTTTACTTATATCCATAAGCACTGCAGCCGTTTCGAGTTTTTGTTGCAAATTACGTATATTCTCCATATTCGGTATATTATTTTCATTTTTAAAATTTATTAAATTATTTGCAATTGTATTTGGCGAGACGAGACCATCTGCATAACGTAACGTTGTATTGTTATTATTATTATTATTCGAATAATACTCTGTGGTCTTGGGATTTTCTAGTATTTCCTCCGGAGCTCTTGTTGTTATTGTTGTCGATGTAGCTTTCTTATTATGTTCATCACTTTGCAATGGCAGCTGCGGCGGTGGAGGTGGCTCTAGCGACTCTAACGGTGGCGTAGGTGCATGCAATCTCTTTCTTATTATAGGCGGCGTATTGTAAATATCATCATTTTCATCTATATTTATTCTATGTTGTTGTTGCGATTTAGCGGCAATAGCTGGTACAAGCACGTTACTAACTTCTACGTAATTTTCGGCAGTTGCAGTAATTATGGGTTTATAATTTCCGAAATAACTTTTTGAAGATTTACTTAATTCGGTTAAAGCCTTTGCCGCCATTCGCTCGGATGAAGATTTACCGCATGGGGGTGATAGTGAAATGCCAACGGAACGGGTGTCGGGTTCAGAAGTTCTCTCCTAAAGAAGAAGAAACTTAATTAATATTTGTAGACATAATAATAATTTAATAAATTATAGATTTCTACTCTAGTGACTTGTAGACTGATTTTGCGGTCTACTATTTCCCCAGATAGTAGTGAATCCAGAATATCTAACGCCAATTATTATGGTCTTATAAAAATCCAAACTGCACTTCACTTCAGATGCGTATGTACATATGTATGTCATACATACAACCTATCCTTGAAAGTAAATTCAATAAAAACTAGGTTGTGAAGATTAGGCGGAAATAATTTGGACTTCACCTCATCCTTGATAAGCTTAAAAAAATTATGGGCTACTTTTCTATTTCTACAAACCCTACTTAATCAATCATCTAACTTATTTTAAAAATACTCTACCATATTCACATGTTTTCAATTGAATTTATATTTTTTCATTACTCACTTGTTTAGAAATTTTCGTCAGTTCCTTTAGAGTAAAATCCGCTTTTTGGGCCATCAATCGAAAATTCCAAAATGCATTTAATTTTATCCGACAATTGTTACATACAATGGCAGGCAACCCATCGCCCGGAGAAATCTAAAAAAAAAAATATAGTTTTTAATTACAGAATTATAAAATTATCGGGGTTGTTTCTTAAATTTTCTTTATATTTATAATCACAATTTCATTCCATTATTTTGTATACATGTCCTTGCAGGATTTGGCAACCCTACTACTGATAATCTGCACATTATATGTATATCGATATTTGCACAACAGCGATAACACACAAACAACGTTATTTACTAACAAAAAGGAGATTCACTGCACGTGTTATACTGATATGGTATCGCCTGATAATTTCATCATATGTTGATATGCGTATAATGATAACTCCTGTCGCAAACGCGATAAATACATACAAACGCACACAAGCTGATTGTGACGTTGCATTGATTTAGTTACATTTAGCAAATTTTTTCACTACATTTCACTTGTCAACATAAGTTCAAATGTATGTTGATATACAAATTTTGAATTTTATTTGAACGCACTCAAAACAAAAAAAAACGTGCAAATATTCAATTTGTTCCAAAACGACAATGCCAAGAACACGGCAACTCTAGCACTGTTTAATTATTGTCAGTGGTGTCGTAATCGGATCTCTTTACTTTATTACTACGTACCTTTATTGAGAGACAGCTGAGTATTTGAATGGTAATATGTGTTGATGAATCATCATGGTTTTCCTTCTTGAACACCTCCTCTCTCATAGATATGCCATCATTGCTACTGCCTTCTTCGTTATCATTGGATAATGTAATCTTACGTTTCACATGTGTGGCATTTTCTACTTGTATATGTGGATTAGTTGTTGAAAAGCCCCCCACCTCGTTTTTATCCAATGATTTGGACAATTGACTGATGCCATATGTAGAAGTCGCAGTTGTAGCAATTGAAGAAGGCACAATCGGCACAAATGTACTTAGCTTATTATCGGATATCGCTTCCTCACTTTTAATAACAACAGTTGGTACAGGAGATAGTGATTGGTTATCAGAGCTACAAATATTTTTTGTAGCACAACTACTTTGTGGTCGTCCGTATGGATGTGTTTGAAATTGGTGGTGCTGCGGCTGGTGGTGATGTTGATGAATTTGATGGTGAAACTGTTGGTTGGGGGTATTTTCAATGGTTTCTTTTGTTTGATTTTCGGGGCCATCATATGAAATATTCGTCGTAGCTGTAGCTGCTGTTGCTGACGGCGATGATGATGATGATGAATTAAATATTTGCAGCACCTCAACGTCATGCTCTTTGACCAAAGTAAGGCATAAACGACAAACTTGAAAGAACTTAGGTGGTACATTACACATAGTTATTGGTTTTATATAAATTATTTGTTCACACAATTTAAGCACTTCACAATCTTAAAACAATATACAAAGTTATAAATTAATTAATAGTAATATTAAAAGAAAGAACGCCCTGTTTATTTTAACGCATCCGAACAGATTCACAATTAAAATCTAATAATATGAAGGCGCTATACTAGTATGTTCAGCCAGAACAAGACATTTTGAGACATTTCTCTTCTCACACACACAAGAAAATCCAGAGTTTCCGTTGCTCAAAAAAATATTTCAACGCATTGTATGCAAACAGTGAGCACACCAACACAAAAAAAATCGTGATAAAATCTTAACGTGTACACAAACACACAAATATATAGACATGTGTAATCACATTCACATTCAGTTTGTCTTTCAGACCAATCTTCTATCTTCACATATAAAACACATTTGGGACGCGTGTATAAAATACTTTTGTTTTATATTATTTATTGAATGACGGAGAGTTGACCGAATACTCGCTTTTTTGTTTTGTTGCGAGCTCTTACGCATCTGCATCATATCAATCGTTGTTGCCAACATTTACTACGAAATCGCGCGTACCAATAGAAAATCTCTTATCGTCCTTATCACTTTTACAAATACAATGTATATTAAATATTCAGCATTTCTATATACAATTTATCTTAATCTTTTATTTAGTAAAAAAAACTTGTTTAAGCACAGCTTGTAACGATTTTTATATATAGTCAAAATAAACTATAAATTTTCGCTTATTTGAGGCAGACTAAATCAATCACCATGATTACAAGGCAACGAACAACACCAATCATGTACAGTATTGCCAAATGCATCGGGCAATTGCACAAAAACCCTGCCAATACAGAGAGACCAACATCAACTGTTGCGCTACCAGTTATTGTTAGACAATAACTTAATGCTAGAGCATCCTATGTTTATTTCATGGCATTCAATTTAAGCCATAGTTAAATTATTATTTTTTACTTAACTTTTGACTTGTACAAAAATGCTCATAAAATAATTATCATTATGGTGAGCAAAAAAAAAAGTCAATTGGGAAATTATTATTATGATTTGCGTAATTTTTTAAGAGTTTTTCTAGAGAGAATGGTATCTACATATATAAATCGTTCAAAAAGAATTATGCATATATTAGCTATTCTTTCATAAGTGTTGAGATAAAACTCGAAAAATAATAATTATCAAGTAAAGACTAAGATGCAGAGCACAATAGACAACTAATCGCGATGAATATCCCTCTTAAAATTAAATAATTAGTTTAATTTATGAGTAAACAAGCAATAGCCTTCATTAGAATAGGCAATCAGCTTAACCTATGCATATGAAATATGACTTTTTTTAAAATAATAACAAATATAATCCCAATATTATATGTATGGCGGCCACGATAGCCGAATAGTTGGCCGTATGCACTGTCATTTGGAATGCCAGTGTTAGAATTCTGGTACAACCAAGATCAAAAACTTTTAGGAAATCGACTTCAACACTAATTTTAAAATAACTTTTCTAATTGAAAGTTATTATCGTCCGTAATATAACTTGTAAGTTTCTCGTTTTGTTGGAAAACGTCAAGACACACGTCACAAATTGGAGGAAGAGCGGAGACGAAAATCGTTTTAGCGGTTCCGAAGCGCCAATAATCTATAACAAGGAGAAGTGTACGAAGGTTTTTAAAAGAACTGATGACAAAGGCATCCTATTTCAATAATTCGATAACGATTCGATTTCTAGCAATTTTAATCATCACAATAATGCAAGTTTACGAAATGCTTCATATGTGAAAATAGAACCCAAAATAAATCATTCATTATTTTCCAACTATCAAACGTCGTTTTCCGGGAATCAGTGAATTATCCGATTCGCTTGAAATGATAAATCTAGGACGGGAAAGTGCGAAAGTGAAAAGATATTAACGATTTCATAAAAAATCAGGAATTGCGGAAACATGGAAAGAACTTAGCCTTCCTTTACATCGTAATGCAAATATATATATGTTGAAGCGCCCTGTACTGTTTCGCAGTGTAAGTCTTGGTGATTTCATGATAATCAAACTTCAAACAAAATTTGGCGCCTTATTAGTTAGAATTGCCGCATTTTTGTTTGTTACTCTTGTGCTTATAGACTGCTTAAAAAAAATTTTGCAAAATGAAATCACCAAAGTTGTATGTAATTAAAAGAGGTAAGATTATGCTAATTGGAAATATATTGAGCTAAGTAATAGAACACTAAATAATAACTAATAATTTAAAACCATTGATGAGTGTTGTGACAAGTTGTGAAATTGATTTGATGATGTGCTACTCAATTTAAGAAATTTTCGATTCTTTATATCATTCCGATTTTTATGGACGGTTAGAGGAGCATTTATTTCATGTCAGAAATGGAAATATGTAAAATTAATCACTCGGCTGTCGTGACCGCAGCTGTAGTTATATATCCTGAGATAATATTATTCTAAGGTTTGCCATACACATGTTTTTTTTTTGTTGCTGCTTATACGGTTGTTAGAAGTGAGAAATTTCAATCTAATACTAAGGGCTATGTTCGACATATTTTTTGCGAAACCGTAAACATTGTTTAAACACAAAAAATAATAATAAATAACATTCTACCATTTAAGATGGCCGCAAAGAAGATATTCATTTCGACAAAATTACTTCACGGGTACAAAAGCTTTGTTATGGCCTTAATATGGAATTTGTTGATCCAGTAAGTACAAAACAACTTAATTTTACGCAAAAAATATGCATAGACATGCTTACTTATTTATTACAACACTTTCATTGCATCAAAAGGTCGCCATTACTTTAAAGGTCATAAATGGGTTATATTGTGGGGTCACAACCCAGGAGCTTGATAACTTGGCCGCTGAAATTGCTGCCAGTCTTACAACACAACATGCCGACTATGCAACGTTGGCCGCACGTATAGCCATTTCCAATTTGCATAAGGAAACCAAAAAAGTATTCTCTGGTGAGTGCTCAATTTTAAAATGTTTTAAAAATTTTTTCAAAGATTGTCTTTTATGGAATTATAATACAAAAAGTTTGTATTCAAATATTACTCTTTTATAATATTCCCCTAACCAGATGTTATCAGCGCTCTTTATAATCATGTCAGTGATGAAACTGGCCTTCCTACGCCCATAATTTCGGACTTTCACTATAATGTTGTTAAGAAGCACGCTGATCGCTTGAACTCTGCAATTATTTATGATCGTGATTTCGGTTATAATTATTTCGGGTTTAAGACTCTTGAACGTTCCTATTTACTCAAGTTGAATGGTAAAATTGTTGAACGGCCACAGCATATGTTAATGCGTGTAGCCATTGGTATACATGGTGAGGATATAGATGCGGCAATCGACACATACAATTTGCTTTCAGAACGTTACTTTACACATGCCTCACCAACACTCTTTGCTGCCGCTACCAAACAGCCACAATTATCTTCATGTTTTCTATTAACTATGGTCGACGACTCCATTGATGGCATATTTACATCGGCACATCAATGTGCATTGATTTCTAAATCTGCTGGTGGTATTGGCTTAAATGTTCATTGTATACGCGCTAAAGGCACTTCGATTGCGGGCACGAATGGCACATCAAATGGCTTGGTACCAATGTTGCGTGTTTTCAATAACGTAGCACGTTATGTGGATCAAGGTGGCGGTAAACGACCAGGAGCTTTTGCTATATACTTGGAGCCTTGGCACGCTGATATTTTTGAATTTTTGGATTTAAAGAAAAATACCGGAAAAGAGGAGCATCGAGCTAGAGATTTATTTTATGCTTTGTGGATACCTGACTTATTTATGAAGCGTGTTGAAGCAAATGAGGATTGGTCATTAATGTGTCCACATAAGTGTCCCGGATTACACGAAGTTTGGGGTGAAGAATTCGAAAAGTTATACACAAAATATGAACAAGAAGGACGTGCTAATAAGAAAGTTAAAGCCCAAAGCCTTTGGTTTTCCATTATAGAATCGCAGGTGGAGACGGGCACACCGTATATGTTATATAAGGATGCTTGTAATAGAAAGAGTAATCAACAGAATATTGGCACAATTAAATGCAGTAATTTATGCACAGAAATTGTTGAGTATTCAGCACCTGACGAGGTAGCTGTATGCAATTTAGCATCGATTGCCCTCAATATGTTTGTTACACCAGACAAAAAATACGATTTTAAACGCCTCAAGGAAGTCACTAAGACCGTGACGCGGAATTTAAATAAAATCATTGATATAAACCACTATCCATTGCCTGAAGCCAAGAAATCTAATTTCAGGCATCGTCCGATCGGTATTGGTGTACAAGGTTTAGCAGACGCATTAATCCTCATGCGCTATCCTTACGAAAGCGAACAAGCATTCCTATTGAATCAACAAATATTTGAAACAATTTACTATGGTGCTTTAGAAGCCAGCTGCGAATTGGCTGAAAAATTTGGGCCTTACGAAACTTATGAAGGTTCACCGGTTAGCAAAGGTATTTTACAGTATGATATGTGGGATAAAAAGCCGACTGAACTATGGAATTGGACTGAGTTGAAAGAAAAAATTAAGAAACATGGTGTACGCAACTCTTTACTACTTGCACCCATGCCAACCGCTTCAACGGCACAAATAATGGGTAATAATGAATCTTTTGAGCCGTACACCTCCAATATTTATACTCGCCGTGTGCTTTCCGGTGAGTTTCAGGTTGTAAACCATCATTTGTTGCGTGACCTTACTGAATTGGGCTTATGGGATGATGATATGAAAAATCAAATTATCACTAGCCGTGGTTCAATACAAAACATTGAATCTATACCCCAAAACATACGCGAACTGTATAAAACCGTTTGGGAGATTTCGGTAAAAACTTCCATAAAAATGGCTGCTGATCGTGGTGCCTTTATCGACCAAAGTCAATCCTTTAATATACACGTAGCAGAACCTAATTACGGCAAACTTACTTCTATACATTTTTATGGTTGGAAAGCAGGTTTAAAAACCGGCATGTATTATTTGCGCACAAAGCCAGCGGCAAATGCCATACAATTCACCGTAGACAAAAGCCGCAAAGAGTTGAATGACGAAATTAAAGCGAAGCCTCCTGTAGAAAATCAAAATCTAGCGGATATGGTCTGCTCACTCGAAAATAAGGATGCCTGCATGTCGTGTGGATCGTAATTGTAGGATTTAAATGTAAATTAATGTAAGAGAATCTGTATTTGTTTGAAATAAAGTTTTAATCATAAGCATAAATTATTAATAATAAAAGTGTGTTGTAATTTGTTTACTCAACAGCTTAGGATTACTACCTATAATAATTGAAAAAAAAAAATACCGAATACATTAAATCATTTCTTTATTTTATCATTTACTTTATTGCTAGTTATAAAATCTTAGGTATTAATATATTTATCACAAAAAAACGTGGTGTTTCTTCGTTTGATGACTCATTTAATAGTTGCAATTTTTTCACATGTTTCACTATTTTAGAGTGAGTTACTTGTGCTTACACTTTTCCTGAAAAATATTACATTTATAATCATACTTTTACTCCTCCCCGCCTGGCAAATAATCATTAGTTAGATAATTAATAATATTTGAGGCGGCATTTTCACCTATCCATAATAAACCAACAATAAAAGCTTCAATTATGCCAATCCCCATACCACCAACGACATCCAATATATAATGACGGCTAAGTAAAATTCTTGATAAACAAACACTTAGCGTCCATGATACAATGGGCATCCATAAAAATTCCGAAACTGGACTAAGTACAATGAAAAACATTAATATAAATGCCGATCTGGATGCGTGTCCTGAGGGAAAGCTGAATTTATCAGGTCCCAAGGTGAGCATATCTGAGCACACTGCTGGTCGTCTACGGCGGAATATAGCTTTTAATACTGCTATTACAATAATGTCCAATATTAAGCCAAATAAAAGATTCAATTGCATTTCATAGAGTGATTTACTATCGACTATCCATATAAATGCCAACCAACCAGCTAACCAAGCAATACCATTGCATGAAATCTCCAAACATTTGCAATATAAACGTAGTTTCGCAAACGGTATATGCTGGAAAACGGATGTGACCAGTTTTTTTGTCCATAATATATCCAGTTTTAAGATTTTCCCCAAAATGTCTGAGCGCTGTGATGTTCCCTGAAAGCAGAATGGGAAAATATGCAAAAAAATTTAATAAATTTATGTCACAGCTTTGTATTATTTGTTCCAAAGTTTGACACTTGGAGGAAAAAGATACATCAACAACAACATGGGTTTTTAAACATTATTCTAAAATTATTTTAATAATGTAATGCTCAAATAATTGAAAATAATATAAAATATAGAACGCAACTATAATTCCTATTTAAATTTATTTACTATCACAACAGCCGTTAATACTCTATTCAGTAGATTTCAACACAAAACTTTGATATATGTTTGTTAGATGCCAATCGAAATGTGGAATTAAATTATTATTAGCTTAAATAACTTTATTTACCATTTTTCTATTTATTTTGTCAAGATTACACGTACACTTTGCACCTTTGTTATTGATAATAGTTACTAACTAAAACCGAAATATATTTTAACCACAGGGTGCTACCTAAAAATAGTCAGATACATATGTTACTCTAAAGCTACTGGCAGAAGGGACTTTTGCGCTGAGTCGCGTGACAGGTCGACTCTGCCGTCTAAGATGTAACTCTCATCTTTTTGTACGTTGACCATGTGTTGTTTTCAATCGAAAACTATTAAAACGGTATATATTAATATGTAATGTTTTTTAACGCTTTGATAGAAAAATTACTGAAAAGAAAAATATTAATTGTGCCATAGTTTTGGTATTTTTCTTTTTGCTGTCAGAACCTGAAGAAATAGTTGTAGGCAATTAGCATCGATTGGCCTCAATATATATGTCACGCGACAAAATATATGCGACTTTGAATGCCTCAAAGAAGTGACTAAGACCGTGTCACGGAATTTAAATAAAATTATTGATGTAAACCACTATCCCTTGCCTGATGTGAAGAAATCTAATCCCAGGTTAAAACCTACCGACAGTACAACAAACGGCATGAATGAGAACATCTGAAAATGAAGTGAAAAACTAATAAAGCGATCGGCGAGCTCAATGGAGTTGGCGTGGGTAGCTAACTACGTACAATAACAAAAAATATAGGAGATTGAGAACTGAAAAAAATAACAACGTCGACTTGTACTAATAGGCAAAACTATTCGCATAACAACTGATAACAAAGTACATAACTATATAAATACAGAATATACAAAATATACTTTTGGGGTGCATCCGAGGTGTGGTCCAACCAAAATGCTTACACACCCTCTCGCACTACTCTTTTTCTACCGGAGTTAACTTTAACTTACTTGTATGACTAGGCTCTGGGTGCGGTATGCTATAAGGATGGGTAAGGGAAAACGGAGGGAACGGGAGGAACGACTCTGTCAGTATGAAAAACGCGTAACCAAGATCGTACTACTTTGATTATTTTTTCTTCTCAGCAAAAAAAAATCTTTAGTTTTTCGAAGATTGCAAGAACCCGATGCATTGGGCCCAATAATTTTCCGCCGCCTCCATTACCCAAAGGGACCGGGTTGTACAGCTGTCAAAGTTTTAAATGTCAAGCAAAACAGTCCTACCTGTCACGTAGAACCTAACATCTTTTACATGCGTAGGTTATTTTTTACTCAATGCTCCTTATTAAAATTTCACATCGGCTTGCCGAAATCACTCCCAGAATTAGGAAACGAAATAGTTCAAATAAAAACGATCAAGTGATGTTCACAAAGAGGAGTAGCGTAGCAGCAACCTATATGGTCTGAGTCCTCCTTTTCTATAGATGCAATAAAATCAACGCCAAGAAACAAAGAAAAATCAATCACGGGTGATACAGAATCAGATAAATGTCATAATGAGAATTGAAACCGACAAGGTTATACAGTCGGATTATTGATTTGCATATCGGTTTCATTTTCAGAGTACAGAAATCCCACCGATTTTATGTATAACAGAAACTGATTTATCAGTTTAACAACTATTAATGCCTGAAATACGATATTTGGTGTACAAATTGTCACGAGCTCTCCGCTTGCCACTGTCCTTACATTTTTCAGCTTGGCATAATCCACCGTTCAAACTCCTTTAGCAAAATCATCATTTGAGTGATTACCCACAGGCCGTTGATAGGAGTTTTCTGCGAAAATAGCAGTGTCCCTGCAAGTTGGCGCACAGGTGTGATCTACGTACTGATTCGGTTTTGACCTCTATCTTGTATGTCTCCTAGAATATGCTTTATCATTTTACTAATTGCGTCTAGCCCGTTCCATTAGTACTGGCTTCATTCTACTCCGCGTTAATCGCGCGTTCTTACAGTTCAGTAAAGTTTTTTCCACCTGCAGAAACCTAAAATCTTTTAAAGTGCCTTCTGAAGGAATGAGATTTAACTTGTTTCGAATATAGGGGACTTCCTTTGACCGCCTTCGTCATAAACACTGTTTTCGTCTCTCTCCAAAGGATGGGCATCTTAAACATCCTTTCGTTTTTCCTTTTTTCATTAGGTATGGTGCCAGCACTGTTGAGACGTTCTGATACCGTCTGTACCAAGGGATTTAAACGGTTCGAAGCCAATCATTCACTAAGATATTTCGTTCTTCGTCTTACAATGAATCCTCCTTGCATGATACCTCGGTTTTCTTCCACAGAAGCTATACCGCCTTTTTCAAGGGTTCTCTTACAATTATATATATATAATGGTTCCTCATCCCCAGCTGGCTATAACTAACTTCTTTATTAGTATAAAGTTTAGAAATGAGTCGCCTTCTAATCCGTTTTGTTACATCAGAAGATACATTTTCTACGGACTTTGACCACAGAGCGCACGCTCTACACATTAAGAGAAAAGCGCCAACGCTAAGCACGCTCTAAATGTGCTTATACCATAATTTATTTAGTATTTTTAAGGGATTTTATTTGATTTAATTTTCGTCAATTCAGGCAACTCTAATGTTTTGTTTTAGTATTTTTACATATGTTTTGTCTTATCTATAATATTGTTAAATTTCCGTGCAGCCGCGCACTTTTGTTTCGGTCGTGGACCACAACAGTATAATTAATTTAAAAAAATGTTGAATGGAAAGGTGGTGGAGCCTTCCGTACATTTCTTTGAGGGTGTTGAAAAACTCTTGGAAATTTGGTTCGAGGATGGTGGTAATGACGATTGTGATTTAAGGAAAATACCAAGGTAGGTATTTTTCTACTTAATACTTACAATTAAAAAAAGAATAGCTATGTGCCGATTAAAAATATCCTTCTTTTTTCATGTGTAAAATGTAAAATACTTATTAATACGCGTGTGTTCAAAAAAGCTTTTGCTCCTTAAAAAGTCAAGCAAATTGTAATTAGATGAAATTAGTCCATGAGTGCTTTGAAGACAAAAAAAAGGGTACAAGCTATGCAACAACAAGGACAAACGTATATAATACCAAAAGATTTCCAAACTTGTTTTTAGTATTCTATTAATTGAAATTGAGTCCACCTTTCATCCTGCCATCTGTGAAAATAAAATTAAAAAAACTAATTATTACTAATTATGTTTTTTATAACAAAAATAACATTGCATTAAAATATTTGCCAATGGTTCCTTCCGGTTGTGTCTGACTATAATTTTTACAAAAGAACCGATAAGACTACTCAGTTCAATCATGTATGTATATAAATACATATACATTTAAATGCAAGATGGTATTTCTGTACTTAGGCAAATAATTCTCTTATCACCAAGTTCGTTTTTGATTTACAAAAGGTTATCATCTCATATTAAAGTGATTAAGATCAATTCTAAAAAGAAAAATGAAAATATATGATCTAATTGGCACATGTACTTTTTTTACAAATCTTTATCTTTATAATAATCTCATTAATCTTGTATGTATGTACATATATATTTTCAGAGATGATTGGGTGACTTTGCTGAAAGCCGTAAAATGTGAAATAATAAGTTTCTCCCAAAATGATGCCATAGATGCTTATGTGTTGAGGTAAACAAATTTAAATATAGGTCTATTTTTATTAGTAAACTTTAACCCTTTTTATATTTTGATAACAGTGAAAGTAGCATGTTCGTTTCAAAGAAACGTTGGATTTTGAAAACATGCGGTTCTACAACATTGCTTAAAAGTCTTAAACCACTACTGGAACTTGTGCCAAATTATGGCTTCCGAGAAATTACTGATTTATTTTATTCAAGAAAAAATTTCGCGCGACCAGAATTACAGGTGTGTTGGATCGTACATATGTATATGCATGATAAAAATATTTTAAGTGTAAGAAAACATTTATATGTACTTATACTTAGGCATTTCCTCATCGTGGTTTTTGTGAAGAAGTTGAGTACCTCGATACGGTTTTCGAAGAAGGTCGATCCTATTGTTTAGGCTCAATTAATAGAGAGTGTTGGTATTTGTACACATTTAGTAAGTATAAGAAAGAGGTATCCAGACCACGTAAACTTGACAATGCAGAACCAGATCAAACTATAGAGATTTTAATGCAAAACCTTGATAACGATGTTATGGGCATGTTTTCCAAAGAAAAATTTAATACCGGCGCAGAAGTAACGAAGGTTTGTCCAATTATCTTATAATATATACAATATTAAGAATATTTTACTTAAATAAATATAATATTTTAGGCTACGGGCATTGATAAGTTATTACCACAGATGGAAATAGATGACTTCCTCTTTGAACCATGTGGATATTCGATGAATGGTATTGCACCCAAAGTAAGTCTTGTTTAAAAAATATCTAAAAGTTTTGAAAAATTATAAAAATATTGCCTAAGCTTTTAAATAATCTTACCATTGACTACTTCTTTCATTTTAGGGCGAATATATGACAATACATATAACACCTGAGAGCAGCTTTTCGTATGTTAGTTTCGAAAGTAATGTTTCAATGAATAATTACGCGGAATTGATTAACAGAGTCGTGAAAACATTCAAACCGGGCAAATTTGTCATAAATATTTTTGCAAATAAGGTTTGTATACTATGATATAAGGAAACATATTTATGTACATAGTACTACAAAATTCCAAATTATAGGCATCACCTGCTTATGCAACTATAAAAGAGTTGGAAGTCGAGTACGCAGAAAAAACTAGTTGGAAACGATCTAACATGCAATATTGCAGTTTTCCTCTATACAATTTATTATTCGCGCAATATTGTCAATGCCCATGAGAGATGTTTGACTATAATTCTACGTAAAGCACTTCTTAGGAAATCTCAAATATGTTTTTAACTACAGGACATCAGTAAGCTTATTTCTGTTCAAATTACATTATAGATATATATATATATACATATGTGTGAAAAAAGTAAATAAAAATTAGAATTTTAGTGTAGAACAAAGAACTTTGCATTGAAAAAATATTTTTATTTACAAAACACTTGAATGGCATTTGGTACAACTTCGATTCGTAATGGCTTAACATCATATTCCTCACCATCTATGGAATAATGAGCATCAGGTGCCTCTTTCACTTGAGGTTTAAGTTGTATAGTTCGACTATTTATCGTACTATTTGGTTGCAGCTCTTTATCAATTACTTTATTTATTTTTTTCACGAAATCTACGCCTGGTGTGAGGGTATCAATCATTTTAGTTTCGAGTGATGAACCAGTATCAATATTTTGTTTACAAGTAATATTTAGTTGATTTACGTTTGTATGCCCCTCAGTTTTCGTATTACAATCTTCATTTAATTTGTACGAATTTACATTGGCAGTATTTGTATCCCTAACTGTGTACATTCTGGGTAGAAATTTTTTTACATAGGACTTGCTCTCGCTTGGTAGACAGTTACTACAACCAGCGCAGGGTGGAGTGTATACATAATCTGTATCGAAATTCCAATTTAATTTATTAGAAAATGCGTTGAAAAATGTCGCTGCATATTGTCGCAGCGGTCCAAAATACCAATACTTATCGGTAATACTTTCCAGGTCTCTTAAAAAGCCCCACGAAAAGTCATTCAAGCCATAAATTGTTGCATTTTGTTTTATCGAATCAGCTTTGTTGTTGTCTTCTTCCGAATCATCAATGAAATCCACTTTCATTACACTTTCACTCTTAAAATTTTCTTGAAGTAAAGGCATCAACGCTGCCGTTAGTGATTTGACACGATCCAATTTGTTCTCTGGCTTAATGTCGAGATATTTCACAGCGGTTGAACTTTTCCGACCCAATGGCAGCAATACAATTGGACATTTACCATCTTTGCGACGCAACAAGCCTGTAACAACTTCCGATGCAGTGCCATCTCCACCAGCAACCACTATCGCATGAGGTCGCACAGTCATATCATTTAACCAAGTTTTCACATGCCCTTCTTGTGTTGTTTTTATAATATCAACGCTGTAACCGGATAGGTGTAGAATAGGTTCACAATATTCTTTGAACTAAAGATATAATATTAGTGTATAAACAACGTACATATATGTATGTGCAACTTACCATTTTCTCTGCTTTTCTTTTGTTTGCTGCCGGGTTTAAAACGACCACAACATGTTTGGGCTTATCACAGACCTTTCCAATGGCTACAGTTTCAGCACATACGTTTTTCATATGCTGGGTTATCCTATAATGTAATGTATGTACACATTTAGTTTATTATAAACCAACATTCCTTGAAACAAAAATTTATGCAAATATCTCTTTAAATTTAGTTTATAGCACATAGCATATCTACTTGACTGGGGTATAATAAACGAAAACTAATCAATTGTTTACATTTTTCCCCTTGAAAGACTCAACAATCTGGCAACTTTACACACAAAATGCACACTTTTTGATTACAGCATTCAGTTTTTTATGTATCTTTTATTAAAACTGACTTACTCAAAGCTTGTTTTTGCATAATCTAGTCCATATCCTACTACTCCAGCCGCAAATAGTGATTTCTTCCAGTGATTCCGTATTGTTTTCAGTGCAATCATTTTATTTTAGCTCAAAGGCAAATGCAACATCTGGGCTGATAACGAAGTTGTTGGAAATTTTAATCAGTATGAAGTACAGGGTGAACTTCATTGATAACATTTTTGTATATTGATGATAGATATTCGATTACTTAAAAGATAGTTCGTGCTCGATTAAAATTTGAGTATGACGAGATATCTTCTTCCGTCGCAACAAAGCTTTACCTATACAGATTCACATGTAATGTAATTTAAACCCTTCCAAAGGAGGGTAAAAAGTATACTCACAATTCTGTCAATATTTTGATAGATTAGATAGATAGAAGAGTATAGAGGATGTGCCCTCTCTTCACATAGTATAGAACAGTCTATCGCCCTTATAAAACCTAGCAACCTGAAAGGGTTGATTGATTTAATGTGATTTTTTTCCGACTGCATGACACCTCGATGTCTTAGTCTTTTTCTGGCGGTAGCTTGCATTCAAAGTACACCGGTGTCTCTGGTAGTAGCTCACAGAAGCGGTAAGTCTTATTAAAGCTGATTCAGAGTCTAAGCATATATTTTGAAGTCTGCAATGTCTTATAAGAAATCCTATTAGAATCCTTATGTTATTCTTACTAAGTAATGTTATGTCCGGCGGTCAAGATAGTCGAGCGCTTGCCTCATCACGGGGATCTAGGTAGATGCTGGGGTATTTCCCCATTGGTCTTGATAGCGTTGCACCAACTCCGTCCATGTACAATATATATAAGTATAATCTTGGTGAGGTTATGTCTACAATGTAAATATTGGATTGTTTTTTTCGCATTAATATCCAACAGTCGCTGTGATATATGTATGTCTACATACTTATCCAGAGGTTTTTCCGGTGTACAAAATTATGATAATGACGCTTACATCGCACCAAAGATAAAGGTGAAAATCTCAAATATAAACTCCAGCTGATTTTGGTTGCTAGGAGAATGAGCTTAAACTTATATGGATACGAGGATACTGCCTATCATGATAACGAGAGAATATAACCTCTTCAACTCAAGGATCTTAAGTATCGTCAAACGATCGTTGCCAGCCTAATGAATTTCTTCCTCTGAAACAACTATTTTGCAGATTTTAGACCCATTTTACATATTTTTTTTATCTTTTTAGACGATTGTTGTCTATTAAACAAAATACAACGGTAAAATACGGTGTTTATGCAAATATAACTTTAAATCTTCATTAATATGTTACACTGACTATTAAACCTAGTGTGAGACCATAAATATTTACAAATTGTATTTCAAAACAAAAATATCCCTAAATTAGCATTAAAAGTCATCATTTTATGCGCATGTGCCATTACCAGGCTCTTGTCTATGTCAAGGAAGTATTATGTGCATTTCATATTAAAAACTTTCTGTTGTCTTAAAAGTAAAAGTATGTCCTGCGGCCTGATACAGCTTAAATAGTTGCATACCTTAAAAAAAACACATTTAAACAAAATGTTTTGCAATCTAAAAGCAATTTATGTATTAATTATAATTTTTATATGTGAGTATAACGGTTAAATTTCGGTGTACATATATCTGAATGCAAAGGAATAAATAAGGATATGAAAACAAGTAGACAAATTTTAGTGCACACATACAAATTTTTCTTTTCTTTAAATAAATTCAAGTAAATAATTTTCCAATTAAATACTTACTATATGCGCTAATTAGAATAAACAATATTTCTTTTATTTAATTTTACCAGTTTTTCATAGAAGAATTAACTGTCAATATGCCTATATTGATCACAACCAACAAATCAACGCATCGGAATTTCAGCAAAAATCTAGGGGGGTCGGGGAGGCCTACGAAACGTTGAGTGAAACATATTTGCAGGGCAGTAGACCGCTTGATAGAGGACCCTACTTCGATACCTCCGCAACGAAAAATGTCACATCGTTAGTTGGTAAAACGGCGCATTTAAATTGCCGTATTAAGAACCTTGGAAATAAAACAGTGAGTATTAATAAACGCTATCGAATGGGCATTGAGCCAAATGGCAGGGGGTAATATTGGTTATTTATGTGTTTCTATGTACACATGTATTTTGGCAGAAAGTGTTTAAAGCTCCAAGATAGGATCAGATAGAAAAAAACTCAAAACTCTTGCCCGTGTCGTTCCAAGTCTGAAGCTGTAATTATAGGGTACAGTTTGTTCTGTCTAGCGGATAGGTCAGATTTCTAATCAGTAGTGTTTACTTGTTTAAGTGTTATGTTAGTTAGTATGACCACTTTCTAAGACGGGACAGCTCGTTCTGTTTAGAAGTTTAAATTCTAATTAGAAGTGGTGTTCACTTCATTTTAGCCTTAAAATTATCTCCTTTCTATTCAGTCCTTTTTCGTCTGTCACATCTTCCGACGTTTTGCTCCTTCAAAGGGCATCAGCAATGCTGAAGCATGTGATGAAATGGGTTTCTTGAGATTCAAAATATGATTTAAGATATATGATAAGATATATGTAAGATCTTGGGTTCCCTGATTTGACTGTGTGTTATTAATCTACTTCGTGGCTGTCGTAAAGGTAGGAAGGCGTTTTTAACGCGATACATAGAATTTTTCAACGATTTGTTTGCCTTTAGCATTACCCGGACGGTTGGTACTGCGTTTTATAAATAAAAATTCACGATCTCCAGCTGCCCCGAGAGACCCGCGTGACACTAGCACAACTGAGGTCTGGATACTGTATCTATCCAGACTTGACCACAACATACCCAACGTATACTCCGTACGACACTAACCACCTCTTCAAATGTCCCTAAAGCCGACACATGTAACCCTCCTCTCCCTCTGGTCCAAGCCCCTCGAAACAGCACGTTTGCTGGACCTCCCGTTAGATGACCTCGTTGACTTTGATTGATTTTAAACCTGTCAAATCAGCCGTTCATCGGAGGCTTGGTATAGTAGATCCCTCATTTTGTTGTAAAAACATCAAACACTATATATAAGAGCTCGAAAATAGTTTCAGTGCTTATAAAACGGCGATTATGTATATAAACAAGGATTCTTTTTTTTTTTAATATATACATGTGAACGTATATGTATTAATTACTGGACCTACTTCGCCCATTAGTTAGGAATGGGCATCGGTGCGGCGTCGTCCTTAAGAAAACTGGTTTATCTCTCCTCTCAAGTTACTGCGGAGCCCAAAATATTAGTCAAAGATATTCGGTTGGTTACGCAGTTTTATTAAATAATTTACTATATGATAGGGTCATCTAAATCCATATCAGTTTTGTAACTGTATTATACGGAAGCACTTTGTCATTAAGGCTGAGCTCAACTTTCCGGCCTAAAAGCTCAGTACGCCTAAAAGCACAGTGGCACTCCAAGTCGACTCCAAGTTTAACGTTTGTCTAAAAGGATGGCAATACATGAAGATGTTTAATGCCGATTATGCAGTTTTATTTTACTATGAGCTTATCAGAATACTTGGAAATATATTATTAGTTTTGGAGGTAGCTTCGAAGCGAGTCAATTGAGCTTTGTCGTGGAGATCACCAAACACCAAGAAGGTATAAGAAATTAACTGTTTCAATTGTCTTGAATCCAACAGAGAGAGCAGAGGAAAAAGGACTGTTTTACCTAAAACTCTGTAGATAGAAGTTAATTTCTAACTTTATACTAATCTTAAAAATATTAAGAACCAGATTGAACCCAAATGTCTAGCCGTCTGATAAACTTTTATGTATTAGACTCTTTGTAGAGTTATTAGAATTGAATTTATTCTCTGTTAATGTGATTTCATCTTTTAGGTTTCATGGATAAGACATAGAGATCTGCATCTACTGACTGTTGGCGAAAGCACCTACACATCCGATCAACGTTTCACTTCGATATATAACAAATTAACTGGAGACTGGTCTTTACAGGTGAAAATATACAAACTGATGAAATTAATTGGAACTTTTTTCATTCTACATAACCTCAATTGTATTCTCTTATTTTTTTTACCGTTACATATTATAGATTAAATTCCCGCAAATTAGAGATTCGGGTATTTATGAATGTCAAGTTTCCACGACACCACCTGTTGGATATACAATGGTGTTTTCTGTCGTCGGTAAGTTTAATTAGGAATTTAAATGCAAAATTATAAATAATACAATAATTTACACTCATAAATAATTGAATAATTTCAGAACCTATAACAAGCATACCCGGTGGTCCTGAATTATACATCGACATGGGATCAACAGTTAATTTGACTTGCATTGTTAAACACCTACCAGATCCACCGTTAACTGTTCACTGGACACATAACAACGAGGTAGGGAATTTATATGTTATGTTTATACACACTCATATATATTTTTAATTCATTTATTTTTTATTAAGGAAATCAATTACGATTCACCACGTGGAGGCGTATCGGTTATCACGGAAAAGGGCGATATTACAACGTCATACCTTTTGATACAGAGGGCAAGAATTTCAGATTCAGGCAGATACTCTTGCCTACCATCCAATGCTAATTCTAAATCGGTTAACGTGCATGTGCTAAACGGTATGTGGATATTAGAGGAGACAATTTTTTCGAACATTTTCAAATAACTCGGATAATGAGTACTCGCTCACCTGTTCGTAAACCTAGAATATTTTGAACAAAAATTTTGTTAAAAAAAAATTAAGTTTCACTCGAAATTTTCAAACAAATATTTCATCAGTTGAGCAATAAACGAATATTGCGCTACTCGGACTGTGCCCAATGATTGATTTCTTGAGTTTTTCGCATTAAATGAATTTTCGTTATATTTTTCAGGTGATCATCCTGCTGCTGTACAACGCGCTGGCAATTCATTTAAGTATTGTAGTAATTTAATTGTTGTGTTAATTGTGAGTCGTGTAATCTACATTATACATTAAATATTTTATGTATGTATAATATAATATAAACTGATGAAAAATTAAATATTTCTTACATTGTTATAGATTCGAAATTTTATAGATATTTAAAGGAATATCATTGTAAATTAAAAAAAAAATACATTTTCTATGTAAATATACTTTATCAGATCTATTAAGTGAAAAAACAAATATCAGCATTTTAGCTCTTAGTGAACATTTTTAAAGCTTAATAGGTGTAAAGCGGGATCAGGACGCAGTAAATTTCAGCGAACTTTTGCTTTTCTGTATTAAATTAATTATAAGAATACTATACCTTTTAACATTCATCTTTTTAATGCCATTTTCGTTTTCGAAATTAATTAAAACATTGATAACAAATTATTTTAGTTGAAATCTACTCTCAAGATTTATTTATTAATTAATAAAATTAATGTACTTTTATTTACTTTTCATCTTTTTTTAGTAGTATTACGTATAAACGTTTCATCTTTAGTCTTTGTGACTATGTGTAGTGTTAATTGAGAAATCAAGTCGCAATGAAATGATTGCAATAAAGAAAATGATAAAGAAGAATGCAACAACCAAAAGTGGTTCTTGCAATAAGGTAATTTTTGAGAAAGTATACTTCAAATTGAAGTTAGCAATATGATTTTCTACAAGATTTTTACACGATAAAGTAATCACCGGCCGTCCTACGGTGTCTAAGTATGTATAATGCAATTCGTTCGGTCCTCTCTTCACTGTATAAGGCGTTGTTAGTTCGATGTTCGAAACACCTTCAGGTAATATGATTTTAATCTCCGCCTCATCAATAACCATATCATTGTAAATATGATCAATTAGACGCATTTTCAACAAGTATTTATCGCCTGAGTTGTAGAGGTATTCGAAGGAAGGCATATTATAGCCAAGGGTATATTGTGTTTTCCATCCACCGAATAATGGAAATCTTGGACGTAATTCCAGTTCGACGTAGTCACGAAATATTTTCATATTTGATGTTGAAATATTGCCATTTGTATCACGGTAATAAACATCAGATGCTGATGATGGTAATATGGTTTTGTATGATTTAATAGCGTGACCAGAGCGAGAATCTTTTTGGAATTCGTAACGTGAAAATGATCCTTTTAGCAATGCTCCAGTGTGCGTCATGAAAATGTTTTCCTTTACCGCAATATTACCCCAATGTGATACTTCTATTACTCTTTCAAGGCGCGTTGTAGTCAAAAAGGGGCGTTCATTTTCATAATGTATTATAAGCGATTGATTGGTGAATGCTAATTATGCGAAAAAATAGTTTTTGTAATTTCGGAAGAAACAGCTATTAAAAACGTACTGTTTAGTAATTCGCTCCACAAGTTTTCTTATTTTGTATGAGAGGTGAAGGTTTTTGAAAAATTTATAATTATTTAACTGATTACAAAATTGTTTACATATCCAATAACTAAAGCAAACGTGGCTTATGAAGCAAATTATTAAACATTACCTACTCTGTATTAATTCATTACATACCTGCTATATTTTCATAAGGTCCGTACTTGATTTTATTCGACGCAACATTGTATGGTTTAACTTGGGTATGCGAAAGTATATTAGACGAGCTCAGTAACACATTTACTTTTTGACTAGCAGTCTCATAAGGTGAAAACAAGTAGAGATTACCCTCATACCTTACAAGTTGTTTACCCGATTGCGGTATTTCCATGGGATGTGGTATCAACCTCTTGGTGTAGATTGCTTCAATAATGAAAACTTCTGTTGATACGGATTTTGGGAATGCAATAATAAACTGATGATTTCCATCAACCAATCTCTCTGTGTACTTTAACTCCTTTTTATTTTCGTCTCTAGCAGAAATAAAAGCCAAATTTTTACGTTCTGCTGCTGGTACAATGAACGTGTACACGCTAATCGGCAAGCCATCGCTGTTAGTTGCTGTTATTTTAAAGAGGTCCTTAATCAATTGGGTTGATATATCCAGGGATCGCTCGACATTTTTATTAACTATTTTTGCCTGTATTAAGCAAATTGAATATATAATTAATAGTAAAAAAGTTGAACACCGGGTAATTTTCATTTTTTTCCTTTGGACACGTAGGTAGGGCACCGGAAAAATTTCGATATGAAATGTTACTGATGTTTAGAATAACAAATGGGAGTGGAACACAGGGTAACGGCGGGCTTAGGTTGACAATTTTAATATCGAGTTTTTGAAAATGTTGAAAAGTATTAAAACATATGCAAATTTATTAAAACATTTATAAATTTATGATTTAAATTTAGTTGCTTTTTCAATTATTAAATTATTATTAAACCCTTATTTTTTTAATAAATAAGTATTGAGTTTAAAGACCATTGGAAAATTTTTATTAAATCGTTTTTACAATATTGCGTCAGTTTTAAGAAGATTATAAATACTGTCGCAAATGAAATTAAACTAATATCTAAATTATTATATATGTGTTCAATTCCAAAAGGGGTTTAAAACTGAAAAAATCTGATTCTAAAAAAAATTATTTAGTAACTCAGTGCCTATATCTAAAGTTTTCTAATTTACCTAACAAATTCAAAGATTTTTTTTTATTTTATATTCCATTTATATTTGTTGTTATTATAAAATTGTCACGTATGCAAAATTACCTACAAGTAATGCTATTCATCTTAACTACAACACTTCATTCAACTTTCGTTATATAAGACCATTGTCGAAATTATATTGTCTACTATTCTGCTAATATTTTTTAAAATTTTAAATAGTTATTTTAAAGAAATTTCTGTGTTCAAAACCACCAAAACAAATTAAATTTTCCGTTTTTGCATGAATTTTATTATTCATTTACTTTTTAATTTGTTATTACCATCATTCATAAATTGATGCTTTAAAGAAAAACCGAAATATAAAATGAAATGTACAAAGCTATAAACACTAATTAATAAAGGCCAAATATATGGATATTTAGTTGGAGGAGGCACGATTAAAGATATGAAAGCAGTTATAAACATAGAAAATACAGATACTGAAGAAATTGCTGATAAAATAGTACTTCTAGATTCAAGGAAATTGAAGTGTTCCAATATAAATTGTTTTATAACCACATGGTAAATGAATAGTAATATAAAAAAGGGTAGAATTAAGCCATCTTTTATGAATAATGAAAACATGCTGAACACGGTAGCTTCCAAAAACCAAAAAGTTTCCTGTGGATACCTGCTAAATAACAACATAGCAGGTGCAGCGACCAGTAATATCGATTTTTCATGCACCTGTAAAAGCAGTAAAAAAGTAAAAAAAAAATTAACATCAGTTAGAAAAATATTAAATCCTTACTTGAAATGAAAACAAGTAAAACGACATGGCAGTGTTGACTAAACTTAAGATAAAAGTTTCCTTTCGTTTGTTAAAGAATAGATGGATATTTATGGGCAGCACAAATGCCGCCGTTAATCCGAAACAAAGTATAGCCATTTGTTGATTTAACAATTTGTCTCTATAATAAAAAAAATAATTATAAATTAAAATTTTTAATTACATGCAACGTTTTAAATGATTACTCACTTGACTTTGTAAACAACATTTATGGCACACCAAAAGTTCGAAACTTTATCCTCGAACACGCCACGTCCAATTGGAAAAAGACGTCCTACCACCTCTAAGATAGAATTTAAAGATTGCAACCAGGGCAGCCACAGTACAATAAACGTGGATGATACTGTGAGAGCTAGTAATATAAATGTTTTCGCCTTTGTTGAAAATCTATAAAAAAAATTAATAAAATAATAAGTTAGAAAGGGCATACTTTGCATAATATAAGCATATTCACTTCTTCTGATCAAAACAAGTTCGCAGCATATAAACGAAAAATGGTAGCGCATGATACAGTTCCATTTGTTTATAATTCAAAGCTGAAGTATATAGGAAGGCACCCAAATATATTTTCTCTTTATATATACTCGCAATAGCTAACAAACATAAACCCAACGATATGTTATTATATTGAAAGTGTCCATTATCAATGAGAATTTGCCCAGGATAAAATGCCATAGGTATGAGGTATAGTAGTAATGATTTTTTCACTTGTTGTTGCTTTAAAATTGCTAAGGAAGCTATCAAAAGCCCTGGCAAATATAAAACAATATCAGCAAATAAAACGGTTAGACGCATAAAGTTTTTATGTTCATTGGATTCAATTCCTCGTGATTTGTACAATTCAACGAAACTTGCATTATATCGTCTAGCGATACTACCAAGCAAATAACTATGATATGCTGTTAAGGGTGGATAATCCAGACCCCAATATAGTAAATCATTGTCACTAGTATTTCTGTACCAATCCTTAGGTGGCAAATTTGTTGTGATCTCTTGCCAATGCCTTTGTGCCTCATAATCGCCATACATTGGAGGTTTTCCAGCGCCAGAATATGAATACAACGAAACAATAGTTCGTAAAGCTAATGCGGCACTTAGTGCCGTCACAATATCTAATTTATATGCGGCAAATATCATATTTTCTTATTGAAAAGGCCACGCCATCGAAAACTTTATATCACTTAAGAAGTTTCCAAGTTTATTTACAAATTTCAAATCAGCTGAGTTGTCAATTTGACAAGGAAAGTTTATGTGGCATATTATCGATATCAATTAGGATACTCTGTTTTTAACTCGATTATATCCAAGTTCGAAGTTAAATTCGAAACAGCTGATAGTCAAACGACTGGCATTTTAATAACATAATTGTGTACAAATATATATTATATAATATCATAACGTTGAGAAGAATGGACGAGATTCCCATATCATGGGAATATCATCAATTTTCATACGGATGCAGCAAAAACAAGGAATTGCAAATGATAAAATTTGAACAATTAAAGTTTATGTATTTTCTTTTCTTATTATTAAATATAACAAGAAGAAAAAGTAAACTAAGGATGCTGTGATTATCAATCACTTCGTAAAACTTATAAATTTACTTTATATAATGTATTTTAGCAAAATTAAATCTGTAAACATACATTTTTCAAAATTATGCGCTAACAAATCTCTAGTTCGCGAGCATGCATCCATCCGGCCAACTTCAAATCGGAAAAAAATCGAAAACGAAATCGGAACAGTAAAATTAAGTACATTGTATAGCTTTTTCGACGAAAATTTCATGCAAAAACGATTTGCAGGACTGATTTGATTTGATTTCGGCAAATATAAATTTTATCGATTGTTACCGACCATCAAAAAACACATCTGTATCAAATAGTCGGCAAAAAACCGCTTCCAAAAAATTTCGCTCACTAATCTTTAGTGATTTTTTATAAATATAATAATAAATAAGCAGTTTTTTCAATTCTACAATTGTTTAAAAAATAAAGAAATATGTCCATTTTCGATAATGCAAACTCAGAGGGACCTGGTTTTGTAGGCATAAGATTTTGTCAAGAATGGTAAGTCCATGTGAATAGAAAAATATTCATACTTTAATGAAATGAAATCTTGTATTTTGCAGCAATAACATGTTGTATCCAAAAGAAGATAAAGAAAATAAAGTGCTACTCTATGCTTGTCGAAATTGTGATTACAAACAGGAAGCTGATTCCAACTGTATTTATGTGAACAAAATTATGCACGAAATTGAGTAAGTACCTCCATTTCTTTTTGTTCTTAATTTTACAAATTAACTGTTTATTATAAATACATATTTTTTTGTAAACACTTGCGACCTTCATCAGTGAGCTTACCCACATAGTACCGGATGTTATTTCTGACCCTACTCTGCCCCGTACTGAGGATCACGCCTGCCCAAAATGCTCACATAGGGAAGCGGTGTTCTTCCAAGCGCAAACACGGCGCGCCGAAGAGGAAATGAGATTGTACTACGTGTGTACAAATCAAAATTGTACCCATAGATGGACTGAATGAGTTATTTTAATGAATTACATGTTTATATATTTTTAATACGCGTAGAAGAATACAAATAAAACGATTAAAGTGTAGTAATATAGTTCTGAATAAGGTGCAATTTGTTATAACACTGCTAAACGAAGGTTTAAGCTTACAAATTATTTATATCTTTGTAAATAATATTAAAAATGCGGCAAAAGGGTTTGTTGACATCACTACAAAAATATTGTAGGGTGTTTCATGGGGTCGAAAAATGACATACGACATTATAAAATAGTTGTGTTCCTTAACTTCTCTGACTAAATCCTTAGAGCAATTTTCCAATAGTATGGTGTGTCCTCCTAGTAAAGAACATATATTAAAGAGAAGAACAGTGGTGTGCCGATTGCCATTTTTTCTGCCTTGGGGTTTGCTAAGAGACTATTTAACCTCTATACTGTTACGATTTTACTAAATCCCCTCGATTATTTTCTAGATCCTTCGGGTACGATCTCTGGATTGTTAAATAAAAACTCACCAACTTAATTTGCAGTTTCTTTCGTTATAAAGATTCTATCTAATATCCTTTATCAGTAATTCACAATTCAATTATACTGCACTTTACTATTTATAATCACTAACATCGACTTTCACAATTTACTCTACNTCCAAAAACAGTTATCACAGTAAATTTCCTTTAATTTTTACCCGAAAGGATTTCATTTTGTGCCGTCCAACGATAAAGAAGAATTTTGCCGATGTCATCATATTGCATTGTTGGCGTTGACGTATTTTCTGCTTGCAAAGCTTTGTGAAAACAGCAAATAATAAGGAGGATTTGATAATCATAAAAACTCCACTCTTATATTTTTAACATAAATTAAAATTAATTGCACAATAACTTGTCAAAAATATTCTTTGACAATACTCAAATACTTTGAGAGGCAGAAAATGTCAGATCCTTTGAGTATTTCTGGGCCCTTTTTATTTCTAATATGAAAAAAGCTTTTCATAAAAAATAATTTGAACTTTTGGTTTGAAATTTCGATTGTAGCCGAGTTAACAACATTTTGCTATTCGTTTCTTCTTTTTGCTGTTTGGCGCCAATTGGAAAATTCTAACTATAGCCAGGTCCTTCTCTACTTGGTCTTTCCCACGGATCGGAGCTCTTCCTCTTCCAATGCTTCCGACGGCGGGTACTGCATACTGGACCACATAGCCGCTGCTTCTTGATTCGCTGAACTAAATCAATGCCGCGGTATAACACGTATGAGAACGATGGAGGACTTGTAAAGTTTGGTTTTCATTCGCCATGAGAAGACTTAACTTTACAATTGCCTGCTCAGTCCAAAGTAGCACCTGTTGGAAAGAATGATTCTGCGTTGGATTTCCATGCTGATTTTGTTGTTATTGTTAATACTGGTTCCTAAATAGACGAAGTTATCTTCGACTTCAAAGTTATGACTGTCAACAGTGATGTGGGATCCGAGTCGCAAATGCGATGACTGTTTGTTTGATGACACTTGATATTTCGTCTTGCCCTCGTTCACTACCAGACCCATTTGCTTCCCTTCTCTATCGAGTCTGGAGTAAGCAGAACTAACGTCGCGGTTGTTGAGACCAATAATGTCAAAATCATCGGCATACCCCAGCAGCTGTACACTCTTATTAAATATTGTACCTTCTATAATCAGCTCTGCAGCAGCTTTTGGTCCTGCTCAAGGTCAGTTTACACAGGGTTTTGGGATACCAAATTCACGGGTCTTTTCCAAGATTTGGACTTACTAGGTCTAAGCCACACTGATAAGGTCCAATCAGTTTGTTGACGGCCGGCTTTATTCTCTCACACAATACGCTTGATAGGACCTTATATTGAGGAGGCTTATCCCACGATAATTGGCGTAGACTGTGGGGTCTCCTTTTTTATAAATTGGGCAGAGCACACTTAAATTCCAATCGTCGGGCATGCTTTCGTCCGACCATATTTTGTAAAGTAGCTGATGCATGCACCTTGTCATTACCGTTAGCTCCCACCGATTTTTTGTTTTTTAAGCGGCGTTTTGGCTTATTTTCTTAAATTTTACATGTTGGTCTGGCTAGAACTTTAAACCATGATTCTTCGCATGGTAGCATGCACAGCTAACCACTCGGCTACTGCGGCCACAAGCGCAAAACAGCTAATTTAAAAGAATAGTGATAATATTTATGTCGATGGTTTATGAGATGTTTCTGATTAAAAAGTTACTTATACGCCCCATGGTTTCAAGTTTGTAATGTATTTCAAGTTATTCAATTTCCTGTACTTATCCTGTTATTCATGTCTGTTCATACGACGGAGATGATCTTTGTGCATATGATATAAGAGCTTCACATCCGATGAAGTGTTGGTCTAGTTAGCCAACAAACGACAGTCTAAAGACGATCTAGGTACCAGCCTTGGTGAAGCTGTTTTATAAGGGGCGAGAACAGATGTCAGTGGTCGAAAAAGCTTTTTTTTATTTCCACAAGCCGTTTAAGAATCCTTCTACAGGTTAAAATCCTTAATGGCATTGTTAAGGCGATGCAAAAATTTCAATAAATAAGAATTATATATTATTTAATATCACCATTTGAAAACGCATGGAAAATGAAAGATTTTAGTGGAAGTTAACAAAATCTTGAATTGAATTGTTAATCTAATGGCAGTTTCTTTAATAATTTATCATTTTTATTTATTTAATATATAAATAATGTTTGGTTTGAAATAAATATTTGTCTACTAGTGCTTTCTTCTAAGAATTTCATCGCTTTTGTTTCGATTTGTCAGCTGATATCGATAAAATTTCGATTAGAATTAGAGAAGGCATCGATTTGGTCGTAATTTGCATGGCAATTGAGAAAAAAAGAAGAAGATTTGAATAGCGGATTAAATAATTCAGCATGTATTTGGACTGCGAATTACGATATAGAGAGCGAAACACGTAATTGGGCTGACGTGGAAATGAAGTATTAAATTTATTTAGCGATTTGTGAAGTGTTAAATAAATTTATAATATATATATGAGTTTATTTAATTTTTGGTACATAGAAATTTACTAATGTTGCTTTTGGCCTCGTCATAAAAGTGATCGAAAACTTCCAACAAACGAACCAATTAACTTATCTTCTTAAAAATATCTGCAAAATCCTCTTCATAACATCAAATGATTAAATTTACTTCTGCATACGAAACCGCTCTCCTTTCTTTAGACATGTCTGTAGTCATTTATAGATAAGCTAATTAGAAATTAGTAGACAACTGCGTATCTGTTTGAGTCTATTTGATATTAAATTGACGAATGAGAGTTTGGTATATAAATTGGTGGATTTTGCAGTTTTATTATATTCGTACTTTAGCTTACCGTTANGTGACATACTCGTCAGTTCGTATGGCCGCGCCTAGCAACTATGTCAATGCTTTTGGCGATTTCTATACGCCAGTCAACAAGAAGGCCCCTTACGGCATGGGTAGCTAAATAAGTTAAAATGATTTATGATTTTGAGTTCAAATAAAAATATAATACTAGAAAAAAGATATGTATGTCTGCATCTACTTTAAGTTTATTTGTTTTTTTTTTGACCCGTTTGTCCAATTGAACTTGACGAAAAGGTGGTTTAACACGTTTGGTGTGTACATCACGCTGCAAATTTAAAAAATAAACACAAAGAAGTAGGTTTCCTAAAATCTTATAGATTCCCCTACGTCGCCATGTTGGTATCGCTACAAAACATATCGAACTTAGTAAACTGACATTAAGTAACACCAAAAGCACAACCAGTTTCGGAAAGGATACCTCTATTGGGTAATACGCACAACAAACGCTGGATAGAACGGCATACGGACAGGCACTTAACACTATTCACCAGGATTCAGTTTACCCCTTCAAAGACTCCCTCGCTGTGAATGGCGTCCTCGGAGTTAAATCACCACCCATAGTAGACGAAGAGGTCGAGCTTCCTCGAGAGACTAGCGTAATACTGGCGCAATTTAGGTCTGGATATTAACATTGGATTATTCGCATCTGTCCGGACCACATGACCTAGCCAGGGCAGCCGCTGCTTCTTGATTCACTGAACTATATCAATGTCGCCGTATATCCCTTCCCGGTCTTGATGGAGCTTTTAGTATTCCTTAACGTCAGCTTACTCAGCCTAATAAGTTTTGCGAGGATACCAAATTCTGACATCTCGGCGAATCGACGAAGAGGTGGTGGGTGTCGATCCTTTTTTCACAGATCTCTTCGAAAAATTTGGCGCATGGTGAATATCTGGTCAATGGTTGACTTAACAGGTCTAAAGCCACACTGATAAGGTCCAATCAGTTTGTTGACGGTGGGCTTATCCCACGATAATTAGCGCAGACTGAGGTGTCCTCTTTTTTATGGATTGGGCAGAGCACGCTTAAATTCCAATCGTCGAGCATGTTTTCGTCCGACCATATTCTGCAAAGTAGCTAATGCAAGTCCATTGTCAGCTCTTCTCCGCCATGTTTGAATAGTTCCACCGGTAGGTCGTCAGCTCCTGCCGCGATTGCTATTCGAACTTCCTCATGGTCTGGTAATGGAATGTCTTTTCCATTGTTGTCGATTGGGGTTTCGGGTTCACCATCTAAGGATTCTCAACTTTCACTGCCTCAGCAGGCTGGAGAAGTCTTTCCTCCATAAATTCAATATACTCTGGGCGTCGGTGGTTAGATCACCTATTTTTCTGTAAATCGCCATATGTTTTCGTTGAAATTTCGAGCATTACCCTAGTCGGCTAGCTTCTCAAGCTCCTCATACTCACGCATCTCGGCCTCTTTCGTTTTTTGTCCGCAGATGCAGATGAGATTTAAAACTGTTCAGCTACAGAAAAAATAATTATTCAACAGCTGAAACTTAGTAACTATGGAATTTTAAAATTTAATTGTTGAGAGAAGTAAGAATGCTTAAAAGTGAGTCTGAGAGATCGAAGGTGCTGGAATATAAATTAAAATTGTGACACAATCGGCGGAAGGGCTCATTCAATTCTTAATTTTTTTTACATGACGTTAATAGTAAGGGCCTAAACTGCCTAGATACACTAGTTGGAACATTATGGTTTGCCTCAAATAAGAGCCATGAACTGGCCTCTA